TGTGTGTGTGTGGAGTCCCACCTGACTCGAGAGCTGGGTAAAGACACTGCTACCTCTCTTTTGTGGACAGAAGCTGCTCCTTTCCTTAGGCAGGCGGAGAGGAGGCACAAACCTTCCTGGCTTGATCTCTGTTTCAGGGACCCTACTGCAAACATTGCCTGTGGTTATTCTGGTCATCTGTTTGACCTGGCTAGACTGGCATTTCCCTGCATTCCCAAACAGAAGAGAGGCTGGGGAAGAGTTAACACTTCCTTAAACCTTTTTAAAAAAATCTTCAAATGATTTCACACACTTAGGTCATCCCCCCACTGTCAGACATACCAGCCACTCTGATGCCTCACCCTTGTCCTCATGCACTCACAGGGACACCCCAAAGCAAAGATGTCTTGCTAAACTGGCCACTCACTTTTTCAGCTGTGAACTCTTTCTGGGGCCAAAGCTGTGTATTCCCCATGCATGAGAACTGCTTGATAAACAGTAAAAAAAGAACAAAACGCTGTGAGGCAAACTGGGTTTCCTCCAAAGGCAAGGAGAGGACACAGATGCAGGAGGTGGTTGCTCCTGTTAAACGTCCCTTTAACAGGAGCAGGTGCCTGAAAGAAGGTACCTACCAGCCCTGACTGAAAAGATAACTCCATGGAAAAGACAAGACCTTTGCACTTGCATTTTCTAGACGCTCCTCTTGAATCTCTCAAAGGGAAGTCAGATTTGTCAGGCACAGGTGCTTTCTGCATGCAGGACTAGGGGAGCCTGTTCCCTTCTTTGCTGATTAGGTCATACAGGAACGTGAGCCACCTACACATGCTGAACATTATCCATTGCAAAGTCCCATTAAAGTCAAGGTAGCTACTCAGTCATTTAATTGAAGCACATATGCAAATTTTGAGACCATATTATCAGACAATTAAACGAACGGTGATTAGGGTATGAATTCATTAATCCTGTGATGAATCATAGAATCATAGAAAATGAGGGCTGGACAGGACCTCAGGAGGTCATCTAATCCAACCCCTGCTCAAAGCAAGACCATCCCCAACTAGATCACCTCAGCCAATGCTTTGTCTAGCTGGGTCTTAAAAACCTCTAAGGATGAGGATCCCACCACCTCTCTGGGTAAGCTGCTCCAGTGCTGCACCACCCTCCTAGTAACAAAGATTTTCCTAATGTATCTAACCTAATATCTAATCTCAAGACTGGTTCAACAACATGATGCAACAAAATGAGCCAGTTGTTTCAAACTTCTCAGCATTTTTCTTAGAGTTTCTAATTAATATGAATGTACAGCCCTCATATCAACCAAAGACTATGCCAGGAAAGAGTGCACATTGAAAGTTTACAGGTTCACATTTTATTTTTCCTGATACCCTCCGTATTACTGGAGATGGTGGAACTTATATTCAGTAGCCTAGTTTCCGCAGGCCTGATGCTACTCCTTCCTTCTTACAGTAATTACCAAGCCACAGGAATGCTTAAGCATGGAAGGTAAGATTACAAAGAGCCAATATGCTGCAGGAATAGATCATCATTTGAAGTTTCTTGTGTTATGTGCCAGAACTGGTCAACATTTTTCAAATTTTCTAATTTTGATGAAATATTAACTTTTTCATGATTTACCACTTGTTTATTTGGACCAACTACAAAATTGATAGAAACTGGGGTGGGGGGGCAAAGAGAGAAAAAAGAAATTAGAACTCAAGCAAACAAAAAGTTCTGAGGAAAGAAAGAATACTTTTGAGAAATATTCACAATCTGTCTCTCTTTCTCTTTAAACGTCTTTACTGCTTTCATTTCATGCATATGGGGACCTATTCTACTTCACTAACATCTGTTTTATTGACTTCAGTGGGAACTGGATCAGACCCAGGGCTCACATTTATCACTAGAACAAAATCTCAAAATACGTTTGAGAGGGGTGCTAAAAATAAAATATGAAAGGTAAGAAATGTATTTTGAATCACCACTGTGGAACAGTGATTGAAATGTAGTTCTCAACGAAATGCAGTACAGCACTCGGGGCAAGTGCAATGTTCTTCCATGTTACAGTACAATTTTAACTGCCCTGCTATAGCCCAGGTCAAAGGGAAACATGCTAAAATGATTATTCAGTCTTGTTTGTGCTATTGCTTATCCATTCTTTTCCACTTGATTCTCCTAATGCTAGAGGAACTTAACTAAATTTGTGCTCCTAGAAGACTTTGTTTCATTTAGCCAGGATCTAAATTCTTAAAGAATATTCAAATTCATATATACAGACTGTTCCATGTATCGTGAGATCTCTTCAATTTACATTTCATAACTGTAACAATTCATCAGTGTGATAATTGAAAGCTAATCCAATTATGCCTTATGGAACAAGAGGCACCCTCTTCTATTCTGAGAGCCTCAAGTATAAATCATTTAAAATAGTCTTCTTGTTTCCCAGTCTGTTTTGCCCTCTTACCCCTTCTACTGTTAGAACATTCATTTTAGACAAGAGAGCCTCTTAGTCTCAAGTTGTGGATAGCACTAAATCCTTGTCAAACAGTTCTGACCTGGAAATCACAGGACTGACCTTTCCCAACTGAAAGATACAAAGCCACAAATCCTCAATTAGCTCTAAAACACAACATATGTGTTAGGCACTGTTGTGAGCCAAATCCATCCTGGGGTAAGATGACCCAACTCTATTAACTCTAGTGCAGCTGTAGTTGCTTATATCAAGGGTGTACATTTCCTTTGTCTTCTAGTCATACAAAATATTAGTCCCTGTCCAGGAAGATAGTTCTAGTCATTGGGGGTTTCTAATTAGAGATTTTTTTTTTCCAGCCAGGGAAATATACAGCAACTTTCTCCTATTATTTAACAACTTGAGACATTGATTCAAGTTATTATTCAGACATTGATGTGCTAATAACCAGTTTATAAACACTGTCCTCAGAAACTTTTCTGGAATATATCCCCATACTAGTTTCTTTCTGTTCTGGATTTTTCAGAGAGAGAAAACCATGAATCCATTATTAACATCATACATGTGTTTA